CAAGCCTCTTTCCGGGCGGGTCCAGGAGCTGGCCAGCTGGCCACCTCATGACCACCCAGGCAGCGAGAGAGCACTGATCCTCCTGTTCAGCTTCCTCGGGCACACCGCAGTGATGCCGGAGCTGGAATATCACATCACTCCAGCCTCAGCATCCCTACGCGGCGCACGAGGGAGCTAAATAGGAGTATCAGTGCTCCATCGCCGACTGCAGTAACCAGCTTGCTGCCCAGTAGCCCCACTGGACCCCAGGGAAAGCGAGAATCCAACCCAGCACTTACAAAGGTAGGAAGGCTGGGGGGATTGAATTATTTTTTTTATTTAAAATGTGTGTGTGTTACTATGTATGTGTGTGTTAGTGTGTATGCATGTCTGTTAGTGTGTATGCATGTCTGTTAGTGAGTGTGTGTCTGTTAGTGAGTGTGTTACTTTGTGTGTGTATGCGTGTCTGTTAGTGAGTGTGTATGCGTGTCTGTTAGAGAGTGTGTATGTGTGTCTGTTAGTGAGAGTGTGTATGTCTGTAAGAGAGTGTGTATGTCTGTTAGCTACTGTATGTGTGTCTGACTCTGTCAGTGAGAGTGTATGTGTATTTAGAAGGTGGGGCATGGAGGGGGCTGTGGGGTGGGGAGCTGAGTTTTGTCATGCCTAGGGCAGCACAAAACCAGGATACACCACTGTATATAGCAGCCCAGGAATGAAAATGAACCCCATCATGGCATACCATTGTAAAAGTAGATAACCCACGGTATTCAAAATGGGGTATCTCCAGTCTTTTGTAGTAGTCACTTAGCCACAAACGCTTGCCAAAGTTAGCGTTCATATTAGTTTTTTTGCATTTTTTACACAAAAACTGCATTTTTACTGGTGATTTCATCGTTGTGATAGCTTTTTTGTTGTAAACACTCATATTCGTGTTCAGCGAAGTCTCCCGAGTATAACAATACCCCCCATGTACAAGTTTTATGGTAGTTTGAAAAAGTACATGTTCAATATAGGGCTTGCCCAATTCAGTTTGCCAGATTGGTTTGCTGGGTCTGTGTTGCCTTTTGAGACCATATGGTAGCCCAGGAATGTGAAATAACACAATCACGGTATACCATTTTCAAATGTATACAACCCAAAGTGTAGTCACAAACGCTGGTCAAAGTTAGCATTTTTATTTGTTTTTTATAAAAAAAAATACAAAATTAAATTTATAATATATATATACACACATATATACTTATAATATGTGTGTATATAATATGTGTGTGTATGTATGTATGTATATTTCCTATATATGTATAATTAAATAATTTTATAATATATTATACATATATATGATTTCATTATAAGTGTATTTCAAGATATATGTGTATATATCTCAAAGTACACTTATAATGAAATCATATATATTCATCATATGTTTATAATATACTATAAAATGGTTTATTTTATAATATATAAAACATATGTATGTAGATTCTTTTTTTTTTTACTTTTTAGCAGCCTGGGGGACTGTCTGACAGCTCATGGTGATCACATAGCCCTAGAGGGCATGGTTGGCGGGAGGACTGCTGGGGTCTCATGCAGTCCCCCCTGACCGTGATCGCCGTGGATCGCCAGTCCAGGGCTCCTATTTGTCCTTAATGACCGGGATAAGGGAATATACATAGATAGATTTATATATATATATATATATATATATATATATATAAATATATAATTTTATTCTAAGTGTATTTTCATATAAAAAATATATATTAATATCAAAATATAATAAGAATAAAATTATATATATTATATATTATATATATATATATATATATATATTTGTGCTCGGAATTTAAATACGTGATGGATAGTAACTGTGAGCAAAGTTGGTTGTGGTGTGCCGAAACCAACGTACGAGTGGGCCTGTAAATAAAAGAGGGCCCACCAAGGATAATGTAGTTAAAACAGGGTGTAGGTGGGTGGGGACAATCAGCTGAGCGGCAGCGGTGAGTAGGGGCTGGGAGCTTAAGTAGGGGACTTACTCCTCCCACAAATTCAGGCCTAATGGCCTTTCTACTTGTGCTCGGAATTTAAATACGTGATGGATAGTAACTGTGAGCAAAGTTGGTTGTGGTGTGCCGAAACCAACGTACGAGTGGGCCTGTAAATAAAAGAGGGCAAAAAGATAAATTCGAGAAAATACACACTTTATTGCATTTTACAAGACCAAGTTTCTGAAAGCTTGGCGAAGCTCTTTCTCTGGTTGCGGAATATATGCGTTATATATGGAGGATTTCCATCGCCCGAGCCTTTTGATGATGTGGACCGGTGCGTTTGTGCTTGAGGCTGCTGAGGCGGCTCCTATGCGGAAGGAGTGCCCGGAGAATGCAGCCGGATTGTGTCCGAGCTTAGATAACAGGGTTCTGACATGTGACATCAATTTTGCCGTGGTAAGCGGGTGCCCTTGTAATGTTAAGAGCGGAGAGTCTGGCAGGTGAGTGCGAAAAGTAGACCGTAGTTGGTCGAGAACTTTCACCGGACACCAGGCATTATCAGTAGGGAAGAGAGGAATTATTGTAGGATGTATTGACCGGTTGGTTTTAGTGGTAGGGATAGAGAGGAGGTAGTGATCCTCTACCTTGGTGAGGTGTGAAGTTTTAAGGCATTGTGCGATATCTCCTTGACAAATCACTGTGAACTCTCTAGGTCTGAGAAAACCATAGAAAGCGAGATATATGGCAGATTTTATCACCGTATTGGTGTAGCTATCAAATGGGGCTGTGTCAAGGAGATTGCTAAGAGACCTGAAGATAGGCCCGTCTATGGGTAATCTAGTGCTTGCGAGTGGTGGTGAAACCTTAGATATACCTTTCAAGACCTTTTTTATGGGGTATGAAGACAAAAAGGGGGTGCTGTTAGGAAAATTGGTGAGGCTGTGGTGCTGAACCCCGGTGAGGTAAAGTTTAATGGTGTTGTGTGACAGATTAAGGTGTAGGTGGCAGAAAGAGGCAAAAGACACCATGGTTTGGATAGAAAAGTCACCTTGTAGCCCGAATTCTGCAGTGAATTTATTAAATATGTTAAGTGCCCTATTGTAAGTGATAGCAGTGTTGGGTGATAATGCTTGGTGAGTGAGTGATCTAGCGTGAAGCAAGAGTGTGCTTAATCCAATATTAGTTCGTGAAACCGTGGTGTCCTGGATGGCTGCTGGTGAGCTGCTGGGAGTGCCTGAGAAAATGCCTGGAATCGAGAACGAGAAAGAGCGTCAGCGGCGGTGTTGTGAATACCCGGGATGTGAGAACATACTAAGTGAAACTGATTGGATGCTGCCAGCCAGGTCAACTTGCGAATCAGCCGCATGATGGTTAGGGATGATGAGCGCCCT